TCCTGACACCCTCCCTTTAAGTATTTGTATGCATTAATTAGATCTACCCTAAGCCTTCTCTTCTCAAGACTAAAAGGACCCAAGTCTCTCGTAGGAGAGATGCTCCAGGCCCTTAATCATCTTTGTGGCCCTTTTCTGTACCCTCTCCAGCATTTGCCTGTCCTTCTTGAACTGGGGGGCCCAGAACTGGACACAGTACTCCAGATGGGGCCTCACCAGGGCAGAGTAGAGGGGCAGGATGACCTCCCTTGACCTGCTGGCCACGCTCTTCTTGATGCACCCCAGGATGCCATTTGCCTTCTTGGCCACAAGGGCACATTGCTGGCTCATGGTCATCCTGGTGTCCACAAGAACTCCCAGATCTTTTTCCTCAGAGGTGCTCTCCAGCAGGACAGTCCCCAACCTGTACTGGTGCAGGGGGTTATTTCTCCCCAGGTGCAGCACCCTACACTTGCCCTTGTTAAATTTCATTAGGTTTATCTCGGCCCTATTCTCCAGCCTGTCCAGGTCTCGCTGTATGGCCACACAGCCTTCTGGGGTGTCAGCCACCCCTCCTGGTTTTGTGTCATCAGCAAACTTGCTGAGGATACATTCCATCCCTTCATCCAGGTCATTGATGAATATATTGAAGAGGACTGGACCCAGTACTGACCCCTGGGGAACACCACTTGTTACAGACTTCCAGCTGGATTCTGTGCCCCTAATCACAACCCTCTGGGTTCTGTCTTTTAGCAAGTTTTCAATCCACTCCATGTGTTTGTAACACATGCCAAGTCGTGACATTTTGAATTAGTCTTCAAAGGAGCAAAATTGGTACTTGGTAAAACCATAAAGCAATGTTTTCTATACCAGCCTACACAAGGTCTGAGCAGCAGAACTGGCACGGCATCTGGCACCCTTCTGTCCCATTTCTTCCAGTCTTCCTGTGGCCCAATGATGGACCCTTTGCTCCACCTGCATTTCCCAGCTACTGGCAGGTCACAGGTTACATGGATGGTGTCCAGGTCAGGAAGTCAAAGAGATACTAGTTTGGGTTTCTACCTGCTATCCACTGAGTGACCTTCATGAAGCCTTTAGGAATTTACACTTTTGAGATCTCTGTCTCCTTTTTGAATGTAGTTGGAATTAGCGAAGTGCTAGTGAGAGGGATGGATGTACAAAGTGATTATGTAGGTCCTTTTCGTTTTTTCTTGGAAACTAGAAGAAATGATAGCCAAACAAAAGAACTTCGTCAGTAACTATGAAATGTTTATTCTGGAAACAAATGTATTAATTTTCAACTTAGTTTTTTTCAGAAAGCCAGAAACACAAGAAAACTTGAGAGTATTTCCCAGCTATATTAGGAGTACAATAATATAGTCCTTGACAACAAGTAAGCATTTAAAATGTTAACTTTTGTTTCTTTTCAGGAATATCCAGCATGATTGCAGAGCAACATGCAGCTGAGTAGGAGCTAAACACAATTAGAAAAAATGAGTAATAGAGCATGCCAGCAAGAACAGGAGATACTGTAGAGCAGCTTAAAGAATTATGTTAATGTCACATTTTTGCACAATTACTTAAATCTTTTTCTATGAAAACCAAGGGCAGCAAAAGTATATTATTAATTTAGAATTCCAAGAAGAAGGTTAATGTTAAAAAAGTATGGAATTAGGTAGGTGAGGGAAGACCTCTCTGTGTCCGTGCAGGTGTCGGTGAGGGCACCAGGAGCCGGCGGGTGACCTGATCCCGCCGCTCTCGCCCGGTCGGAGCGGCCACTCCGGGTGTTTGCCTGGGGGCGGGCTCTTTGCCCGTCGAGGAGCGGCCGCTGAGGGGAGCGGTTAATGTTAAAAAAGTATGGAATTAGTTTCAAATTTGAACTTTACTTTGGAATTCATTTGTGCCCTTGTCAAAAAATAGAAAGCAATGGGGGTTGATGTATTCTAGTACTGTCTCCAGCCAAAGTGTGATGAGGTCTTTGGGTCCTCAAAGGGGGCTGTGAATCCCAAGGCCCAGGCTCTGAGAGGTATTTCATCAGAAGCTCACCTGGGGGTACCTGAACACCTTTGATTACACGGCCATAGAGGTCTGCCCTTTTTAATAGCAGAGTAAATCCCTAGCCTTCATCCAGACCTTGGCCTTGTCCCACCCCAGGGTGGGTATGTCGGCCAGGCCTCCATCCCGGCAAAGGCTGACCTCCTGCCCCTCCTCCTGCAGGTGACCACCCTCGCCTGCCTACCTCTTAGTGCAGCCCGGGGGCGACCACGCAGGGCCTGCCTTCCCACGGGGGACAAAGCAGCGCTGCCAGCACCTCGAGTTCGTGGGGAAGACTCTGCCGATCCCGTGAGAGGAGGTGTCATGGCCGCGTCCCCCGCCGCCTGGGGAGGAGGAGGGGAAGGAGGCGAGCTGGCACTCGGCCCAGGTGAGAGCCGCCGGTAGGTGAGGGAAGACCTCTCTGTGTCCGTGCAGGTGTCGGTGAGGGCACCAGGAGCCGGCGGGTGACCTGATCCCGCCGCTCTCGCCCGGTCGGAGCGGCCGCTCCGGGTGTTTGCCTGGGGGCGGGCTCTTTGCCCGTCGAGGAGCGGCCGCTGAGGGGAGCGGCGCGGAGCCAATAGGAGCGCTCGTAGCAGTAGCCAATGGGGGCTGCTGTGACATGGCGGGAGCGGTGGGTGGGGGGCGGGCGCGCAGTGAGGTGGGGGTGACACCAGCCGTGGTGACGGCTCCTTGTCCCGCATCGCCCGGTCCTGGCCCCCGCAGGCATGGAGCCCTCGCAGGTTGCCATCATCGGCAGGTAAAGTTCCCTCTCCCGAGGTGGAGGTGCCGGCCCGGCTCGGCTCCCCGGGGGGCTCTGGGAGCCCGGGGACGTGCGAAGGGTCGCGGGCGCCGTCCCGGCGAGGCCCGGCCTGCGGGGAGGTCAGTTTGTCGCCTCGGCCCTTCCCCGCCGCTACAGGCGTCGGGTGCCGCGGCCAGGTGCTAACTCGGGGCGGTCGGTGGGTTTCGGCCACCGGGAGAGCCGGGCTGGGACGGAGGAGCGGTGCGGGGCAGGGGCGGGCGGCTGCGTGTCCGCGGTGCCGCCGGGATCCGGGAGCCCGGCGGGGAACGCACGGGTTTGGATCAGATAGAAAGAGCGTCTTCGCTTAAATCTCCTCGAAAGAGTGTCTTTGCTTAAGTCCCTGACAGCTCTGTGCTACTTTAAGAAACCCAACCCAAAACAAACAGCAGACAACCATCTGCAGCATCTCTACTGGGAGTCAGGCATCCTGTAGGTCTGAGGGGCTGCTGCCCTCTCTCACTGCAGTGTGTTGTTGGTGGGTAAGTGCGAGAGGAGTGGAGAAAGCTGAGCACGGCTTTAAGATCCTGTTCATCAACTATGTCAAGAAACTCCTGAGTTTCTCTCGGGCACTCCTGCAGTAATACCTTCCTTCGGCAAGATACAGCCGTGTTTCCGACTTGTGTGGGAATGCATTGTCTCCTCTTCTTGAGCTAAAACTGAAGTTCTCTTGTTGAACAATAATCCAGCGGGGAGAGAAAAAACCTGCCCAGCAGTAACAGCCCCCTACTCAACTCTCTGCTAAAAGCAACAGATTTTATTAGCCAGACCGCTTGAGGTCTTGGCAACACGTGTCTGGGCAGCATGTGATGGTGGCCAAGCTGGGTCTTGCCAGTGGCGCTCAGGGAGCTTTTAGTCACTGTAGGCGTGCGAAGGGCCGGACTTGTTCTGTACACTCCGTACTTCAAATGAAGGACAACCCCCACGATCCTACAAACTTGTATCGAAATAAAAGAAAAAAGTACTTTTTGGTCAAACATCGGTTTAAGGAAACTTAATTTAGAATGCAATTTGAAAGAGATTATGCTAATTTATAAAGATACTGGTAACCCTGATGTACTTGTTTGAGTGATCCAAATGCCTTTATTTTAGAAATATGTGTTACTGAGGAGGCTACAGTAGCTAACAAACTTTGACCCTTACCTTACCTTTTCCATAAATGTGCTTGCTCTGTAGTTTGAAAACTTCTGAGGTCTGGGCTCTACTATAGTGAAGTTGTGTGTGTGTTTTATTTTAAATGGTAAGTTTTGTGTGAGAGCTTGTGGTCCACTTAACAGCAGTAAATGCAAAAATGCAAATTTCCCTTTTTTTTTTTTTTTTTTTTAATCCCAGTTATTTCCACTGATTCCTGCTGTTCCTGAAACTTCCTGTTTTGCCCCTTTTTTTCATATTTAAACTGAAGACTGAGCATGTTCCTGTTTTCTCTTCCTTCTTTTCTCATCTGCGCTATTGCTTTATCTCTGACTTTTACTCCCCTTTTAATCCTTCATTGATGCCCCAGTGGCCTTACATTTTCCAGTTGCCAGAGGTTGCTTAAGTTTAATACTACAAATACAGTGTCCTCGAAAATACATACAAAAAATGCATGTAATTATCAGGCCCCCCCACTGTAACAGTCATGGGTATGGAGTTCTGCTCCTGTCTTTGTTAAGGAGATTATTTTTCTTTTGTGATCTCAGGTTGTTTAATTAATATTACTACCTTGTTTGGTGCTTCTGTTTGAAGAGACTGATACTTACTATAAATCTCATTAAGAAACCTACATTGCTTTAAGAGAGATGATAAAATCATCAGTTGTTGCAAGTTTCGTCTGTGCATTTCTCAGTAATGTGACTTCACCAAAAAGTTGTAGGCAAAGTGTTCCTGCCTGTCTCCAGCATGGTAGGGTGCTTCACCTAAAAATAAGGGTATTGCTAGACATTGGCAGGTGGAAAAGCAGTATCAAACCCATAGATTTGGGGTTTGTTTTTTTTTTCCTTTTCACATGCTCAGGGTACTTCCTGAATTGTAGAGGACTTTGGTAGCTGGGCCTTAGGTTTTCTGATCATCTCTGAAGCAAGATCTTGAACTCTTCGACCAATGGGCTGGTGTCTGTCTTTGGGCTATGAACTGAACAGATGAGTGTTAAAAATAATAAAAAACCCCCAGCTCTTTAATGTAATTCCATGCACTAGCTCCAGGTTAAGATTGCAGCTGACAAAGCTGTTGATACTTGAGTCCAGTGTCCCAAAGTAGTGGTCCCAACTCTTTTGAATTCTGCTGTCCTTTTCTGCTTTGTCTTTTTCTTCCTCACTCTCTGTCTTCCAGTTCTCTGAGAAGCTGCTAAACAGCTAGTAGAGGATACTTCTCATTTAGAGATTTGTTTCTTATCAATATGGAACTGATCTTATAATGAAATATCGAAGAATCCAAGCTCTATTTTCCTTCTTGTAATGCTTGTCTGACTCATTTCCCCAGAGTAAATGCTTCTTTATTAATTGGCTGATATTTATTTTCTTTTCAGTGGACTCATTGGTCGCAGCTGGGCCATGGTGTTTGCTGCTGGAGGCTTAAAAGTGAAACTTTATGATATTGCACAAGAACAGCTAACAAGTGCATTGGAAAACATTCGGTAGGTCACGTGACTTGAAATGACCAGGACTGTAATGAAACTGGGATTTCTGTAATCATGAATGAACTATTATTATTTACTTACTTACTATTTAAGGGAACATAAGTTTTAAGCTTGGAAGAAGGCTTTAACTTAGAAGTACATGGCGAACTACAGGCCCAGTTACGATCAGAAGAACTATGCTCCCAGTGACATTTCTGAATAGCATTTAAATTCTGAAGTAATGATTTAAGAGTTTAACTTTAGATCCAAATTCTTGAAATTATGTTTACCATGGTTATGTTATCTATAGCCTAAGCTTAAAATACATGAAAATAAGAGTTTTTGCATAGAAAGATGGAAGTAGGTTAATATGGGTTGCTGAGGAGCCCTGATACAATTATTAGTATTTCATGACTAGAATTTTTTTAATTCTTAAATTAATATTTTTTGAGTCATAGAAGAGCCCTTTTTGAGCCCTGGAACAGGCTGCCCAGGGAGGTTGTGGAGTCCCCTTCTTTGGAGATTTTCAAGACCCGCCTGGGTGCAGTCCTGAGTAATGTGCTCTGACAAGCTCTAGGCAATCCTGCTTCAGCAGGAGAGTTGGACTAGATGATCTCTATGGTCCCTTCCAACTTTAAAAATTCAGTGAAATTCAGTGAAGAGCAGATTGCTAGTTCCACTAATGATTCAACAACTGATCAATTATAGTAGAAGCTGGGAAGCATCTTCAGAAAGAGCAACTTTGAGAGTATGAACATAAGAAAAATCACGTGTTCAGACCACCGGTCCTCCAGGCCTTTGCGTTGTTGCCCTGGAGCTAAAGCCACATGCTTTTGGTACATGGCAGAGCTACAAGTTCAAGTCCTGCCTATCTGTTCCCCTCCCCCAACTTTCAGTGCCCAGAAGTTCCTTGTGTATTCAATAACTCTAGATTTCTTCCAAGTATTTCTCTAACCTTCCCTTGAACCTGCGTAAATCCTTTTGCAACCTCCTTGCCAAAGGACTTTGTGTTCTGCAGGTTTACAGGTTCACCATTTGAAGAGGTATTTCCTTTGGTTTGTTTTCAGCCTGGCTCCTCAGTTGCTTTGGACCCTAGTTCTTATGTTAGAAGGGACAGTGGTTCTATCCACCCTTTTCTTGCTTGTCCTGAAATATAGGGGGTTTTGTATGCCTTTGAGAGAATGAGAGAGAGCAATTGTAGTGGGTCCGTAAACAATCTTATGTTGCTGTATCAGTATTTAATTCTAAAGTTCAGGATGCTACGTGATCAGCATCAACCTAAACATGTCAGCCCTCCCTTCATGATGCCTTGGAGTGAACTATGTCAGCTGCTGTGTGTCAGCTGCTACGGGAAGGAGGCTGCACCTAAAAAAGGGTTGTGGCCTGTTGTATCCTGATTGCTTTTTGTAACAAGGCTTACAGTGAGGAGGAGTGACTTCAGGAGCCCCTTGTATGTCAGTTCATTTGTTGGAGTTTAGGAGTTAAATGGCACGTGGTATCTAGTGAGATTTCCTTAAAAAGGCTTGATAGCGAAAGAGGGGAAAAATCTATCTCCTACAATTTTTTAATTTTTCTTTTTTTGAATTTCTCCCAACCTCTCTTTCCAGGTAGGTGTTAGTCAGACGGAACATCTGTGTTGCTACACCTAGATGACAGACACTTCTGGTTTTTGTGGAATTGCTGTCATAGTGGTAGCCATTCTGAGATTCTGGATTATTGTGGAGGGGCAAGTGTTGCAGTCTGTGTTACTAAAGAGGGTACTTGCCCCTAATTTTTTCTTTTTCTAATAGCAAAATGAGGACTTTAGCCTTCTAAGGTTTTTGACTTGGAAAAGTGAAGCATAAAATACTGTGTGTGACAGGGTAGAGTGCTATTTGGGTGTGTCTGTACTGTCCTGTGCCTGCATGTACATAGGAGTTCAAGGCAGGTTTTGCCTTTTACATAAGGTGTTCTTAACTCAACTTATAATTAACTTGTGTATCTTGGCTGTTGTAACATCCTAGTTAAAAAGCCTGGTTTCAGGACAACGTACTTTTCGTGATAAGAATACAAGTTGTGCAGTTTCTTCAACCGGTATTTTAATGATTGTACCTATCAAAATATGGTCAACTTGAACTTCTTTGCACTGATTTCATAATGCACACAACCTGCAGTAAATTCCTTTGAGTTACTGTTATGGTACTTGCGTAAGGGCTGGAGGGTGAGAAGATAATGAGGACTCACAGGAGAGAGCAACTGACAAATCCAGCTGGTGGCAACTTCTCTGGATTTGCTGGGATTTGCTTTCCTTTTCTCTGCAAATAGCTAGCACGTGCAGGGAAGTTTTTAGGCTTAGGATTTGTAGGGTTTTTTTGTTTGTTTTGGTGTAGTATTGAAAAATATTTGTTCCACTCTAGTCTGCAGTCTATGAACTTAGTGTGTGGAGGTGCTCTACATATTAAGGAGAAACAGGAGTGTACAGAGGACTTTAATTTCCATTTTCTAAACAAAAGTGTAACTGTAGTAAACAACATTAACTTTACTTCTAAAAGGCGGTGATACTCCTTTGACAGAGATTACAAAAAGTATTTATTAACTTTTTTGTGATGGACTTCTAGTACATTGACTTGTCACTTGCCATTCTGAATTTATATAAAGGGCATCTCAGGTCCCATTAACCTAATGAATTAAACTCTTGCACAACAGGAGATAGGCAGCAGGGCTGTGTAGTTCTGCAAGAGGACTGGAACAAGTCTGGAATGGACCTACAGTGATCATGAGAACCTGCATGTATCTGTATGGAAAACCTGAAATATACTCTGTAAATTTATTCAAAACACTTGGTTATGGGTAAATTAAAAAAAAAAATTAAAGTGTGGAATCTGGATCTACTGAAACAAGTGGAAATACGTATTGTGTTACCACAGTATCAGCAGACCAGATACACACTCTCCTTTTCTTTCTGTCTACGAAGGCCTAACATGGTGTGATGGATTTACTACCTACTTACCTGATGACAGACACGTGGCAGGCAGTGCCCCGGCACACAAAACGACCGTACATCGGATTGAACTGGATGTACCGGTGGCATTATTAACCAGTGTCTGCTCTAATGGAACAACCTTTTCTTCTGCTGAATGAACAAACTAATGAACAGTTTTACATCACACTTGAACTCCTGAGTGCACGCTGCAGTGACCTGCATTGGAAAATGTAACTTTTCGTATCTGAACGTAAGATCAATAAACTTTAAAATAATGAGAATTGGAAAAACAAGTGAAGTGCCATGTTGCACTAAACAATCTTAACTTTTTTTTTTTTTTTTTGTGCTGTAGAAGCACAATTGCTACGAAAACCAAACAAGATACAGGGGCTAGAAAAAAGTAGCATTTCCCTGCTCACCTCTGGCCAAGTGCAGAGAACTACTTTAAGGATTCTGTACTGTTGTGAATGGGGATCTGGAACTTGTAATGAAGTGCCCGATGCATGGCAGGTTGCAAGGCCAAGGTACTAAACCATATCTGTGACTTCATTATAGCCAGAGTTTTTAAAGATGCTTCCCCCTGTAACTCAAGCTCATAGTCTTTCTCCTTCCAGGAGGAGATGATTCTGTAGAAAAGACATTTGAAGGTACATTACTTGTTGCTATCTGGTGCCCTCTTATGCTTTGTCCGTATAAAAAAGGGAACAGCTTATTGGATTGGGCTTGTAGCATGAGGAGTACACTGATATGGGCTTTGCACTCTTTTCCTAGCTCATGGTATATTCCATGGCCATGTGTGGTTAGAAACTTTTCCCAAGCTGGCTTCCTCTTCTGGTCTCCGATCTGTATTGCTTTATTGTATTGACACTGTATTTGTATCAAGGGCAAAATGCAGCTTGGCTTAGGTCTTCCTTGATAGTTTTATGTATCTCCTTTGAGGGGGCACCTTATCAAAGACAATTCTTATCAAAGTATGTTTTGATCTTGAGTAACTGACACTGGCACATCAAGCTTGTGCTAAATCATAGGCTCGATTCTATCTTTCAATTTTATCTTAACATACCTAACGAGTGAACTTATTTACCTCTCTAGATCTGGAGACAGCCTTGGAATTGATCTTCTAAGGATAAAAAGTGGGTTGTAATGAGTTGCAGACCCTGTTCAAACTTGGCAGTATTGGCAAGTCTGCATTTACTGTGGAAAAACTGTAATGACTCTAACTGCATTTTCCTGTTACAAAGTCTTTACTCTCATTGCAGCATCCAGTGTGTGTAATGCCAGTGGAGACATCCTGAGAGTTCCATGGCTGGAAGACAGTTTGTGTGTGTGATAACTTTTGGAGAACACAGAACTTGGATTGGCATATGTGCATCACCATGCTCTTATGCTGCGTCCCAGCTCCACTGTAGTCAAAGGCAGATGCATAGCTGTCCCTCTTTAATATATTGCTATGGATGAAGGGCATTTGACATTGGTGGATCCCTTTTGATAGAATGCTTGCTTCTGTGGTCTGGCTTGTACTGCTGTTTCAAGAAGGTGAAACGTGTAATAGCTTTTCTGTGGTGGTGTGTTCTGTGCTTGCCTTTAGTCTGGGGAAAGCAGGAAGATGGAAAGTAGTTGCTAGCACTTTCAAATGACCAATTGCAACTCAATATTAGCAACTCACTGTTTGGCCATTTTATGTGTGAACAGTGAGCTGGTCCCAGGGTCGGGGCTTTCAGTTGCCTACTTGGTCTGTGTGCCTCAGATACGTGGCGCTGGTAATGTGGTTGGTTTTTTTGGCACGCCAACTACCTTCTTATTTATCAGACAGCGCTAGATCATAGTCTGGTGCCATGACTGGTTAATGGCCCTAGTCTTTGACAGTGATGGTTGGCTGAACTTGTGAAGAATAATATTGACGTTGTTTTCTCCCCTCCTTTCTTCTTGCTGCTTTGGGTAGTGAGTTTGTGATTCAGTGGTCTTTAATCTTGCAAGTATTTGCTTATTGCAACAATGTGTGCTGAACACTATGCAGTGGAGTGTAGACAAGATGGCTTAAGTATTAGCATCACTTGCTAGGTCCTTCTCTAAAAACCTTTAGAATAGGATTTGTAACCATGAGCATCCCAGACAGTTTATGTGATGAGGAGTGTTACTATAAATTGGATGCCTTATCTTGAAGCAAATACTGGCTCAGTTCCCAGAGTAGTGTTGACATGGACAGTCAGGTGCAACAGTAAAACTCTGGAGGTGTGGGCTTTAAAAGGAAGTAGTGTTTTCTTATGGATGTGAATTCTTCATTCTTTAAAGACCTTACAGGTATGAGTCAAACTCTTCAAGCTATGCACATAATGCAATTGCAAAGCAAAGTCCTGCGGTGTGTTCTGTGGGCATGGCTGCAATAACCTCAGTCTGTTGTCATCCTCAGAGATCATCACCCTGAAGTTTGGGCTGCTTTGAATAAGAAGTCATCCAGTAGAGGTCAGTGGTGCACTGTTCTGTGTACAAACTGGTCTGGTATGTGCCTTAATGTATGATAAATAGCAGGGGAAGTTCCCTTCCTTTGCCACAGAAGTGTGGGCAAGCTGTTACCCCAGAGGAATATAAAGAGAGTTTAGCATTTGGAAGACTTAAAATGCATTTGTGAACAAACCAGGCAAAATGCCAATAAATATATTGGTGAAAGAGGGCAAAAAAAAAAGAGAGAGAAAGCCAAAATTTAAGTAATGCATAAATGGTATTTCCTATTCCATGCTTTAAATAACTATACTAATTTAAATAAATGACTAGCGTGAAGACTGGTGATGTTAATAGGAAGATTTTTGTTTAGGAGGAAAAATCAGTCCAGCCTGAAGTTCCAAAGTATGAAGATAGTGGTTTTACAGGCTAATTAAGAAATGGTGTTCTTGGTACACTGTGTAGTGTGTAATGACTTATGGCAGAGAAACGGAAATGCTAGGAGGGTCATCACTGGCAAAGAAGGAAAAGTACAGAACAGGAGCCAGGTGCTACAAACTTTTGTAAAAACTTGTGGAAGAAAAATGAAAGCCAGATCTTTTAGTCTGTCATCTAACCTTTTTGAATCCCTCAGTTACCAATCATGGAGTTTCAGAGGACCAGGGAGGATGAGACTACTGTCATATTGCACAGAAAGTGAACAAGAGCTTCACCCTCTTCTTCAAAGGAAGAAATAATTCTGTTGTGATCTCTTCAAACTTAAAATTTAGGTTTGTTTTTTTTTTTTTTTTAAGAGCAATATACAGCCTATGAGAAAGAGAAGGATGCTGGATTTGGGCAAGCTGTGGTGTACCCTGGCAGCTTGGAAAAAAGAACTGAAGCTTCCAGTTTCCTCTTCCTTACCATGCAGATTGCTCGAAAGCAGAAGCCTGTGCTTTCTAGCTGTCCATTTGCTGGTTGTTAAGAAACCAAATGGGGAACTCATCCAGAAACTTGATGGATTTCCTGCTTATTTCTGTGGTGCTGTCTGGAGGGGAATGTTGGATCACTTTTTTTTTTTTTCTTTCTTTCTCGAAGTGCTTTTAAACAAAACTTATTAGAAAAGAATTTCTGACCAGTTTAGCTTTGGGTAGGAAAGATCTGGTTTATGAACCTAAATTAATATTTGAGAAAAGAGGCAGAAGGCTGTTAATGGAACTCTTTTCATCAGTTTTGAACTGCATAAACTGGTAGGAATACTAATTTTGTCACCAAGTCTAAGGAACCCCAGGGAGGCAAACAGAATGAACCTGAGCAGTGTCTAAATAGTGTATGACTCTTAGCTTAGTTTTCCAGCTAAGTATGAATCAAACCTTTTCAAAGCTCTTGTCCAATGTAAACAGAACGCAATGCCTACTTGTTTACCCAGGCATGCTCTGTCTAAGAGTCAAAAATCACTGTGCATGGTCAGCTCTGACAAAAATAAAGAGGAAGTGTTACAACTTGCAGTACAGAAATGCTTATCTGGAGTTAATTGCTGAAGCAGCTCATTGAAGAGGAGAAAGTTAGTGATTGTAGGAGTTAGCACTGTGTGCACACATGCCTGTGGATTTTTGTTGCTTTTATTCTTCCCAATTCGAAATATGGGTGTGTATTCTGGTTTACAAGGTGCATTGTCACCCTTACCAGCTTCAAAGAGAGCCTCTCTTGGAATCTTAACTTCTCCCTTATCTACTACCTACTGGAAATACTTTGATTCATTGTACAAAGTCCACGGTGATCTGAAGGTATTTGTTTCTTCTGATTGTTGTGCTAGAGCAGGAGCAGAATCGTTCTAAGCATTTTTTGGCTCCTGCTGAGTGGCTACTGAGTGCTCCTTACCTTGACTTCTAGTGGGGTTGCTCCCAGGATAAGATATTGCTGCTCTGGGTTGGTGTTACAAAGATATATTAGGAAGATGGTTTGTTTGCTGAGAAACAAATGTTCTCTTTTCTGCTACTTTCAGTGGAAGAAAGGACATTAACCTGCAGAGCAGCAGGTGTTTATGGCCTCTTAATGAAGCCAGAATAAAAGTGATAGAGACTATACTTGCTGTATTTTGTTGGACACGACACAACTACATGGATGCTGAAGTAAAATTCTGATTCTTTGGAAGTTAGTGGAAGGTTTACTGAGCCAGTTCAAGCTGAAGATCTGAGGGTCCATTGAATTTCTGCTCAAATTTGACATGCATCTGTATAGTTAAGTAGGAACTGGATTGTCTTTGAGTAAATCCCTGCAAATTTTTTTTATTTGGTGACTTCAGGATTCTGTGGTCTAAATGTCTTATTCTGAGCTATTTTCTCTTGGGAGAGAGAAATAAGTATTTCCATTATAAGACAAGATGGATTGCGTACTTGGATGCCTAAAAAAGATCAGACAAATACACCTGAAACACTTAGTTCTCCCTTCTCCAAAAGAGAGCTGAAGATAACTGTCTCATGTGCATGTTGACAGGGTGGGTGAGATGAATCCCACTCATTTTGTTTAGGAAAATCTGGTGCAGGAAGCTTAATATTTTTATTTGATCTATGGACTCAATACTTGTTGACAGGAAAGAGCTCTAAATAAAAGGATGGCTTGACAAAGTGTGAGTGCATTATCACACATTGCTCAGCAGGTGGTCATAGGGATAGAGAGAAGAAGAGGCAGTGTGACCAACATCCCTCTCCCTTTTCACTTACTTTAAAATGCTGCTTGAAAAATATAGGTGACACCTCCCACAACTTCATAAAGCAACTGAGAGCTGAGGTTCAGTTGCTCCCTGTCTGGTGTGTTTAGGATTGCTGGTGGCTGCAGCAGTGTCATTGGTAGAGAGTGAGGAAATGCCTCCCCAGGGTATAAGTGCTGGTGCTGGAGAATGGTCTGGGGCTGACATTATCCTGACGCTGTGCCTGTCCTGCTTCATAAGGACTAAGGAAGGTGTTTATCTCTGGCTGCCACAGATTGTGACAAGCACGTGGGTTCCCATCTCCTCTGAGCTCTCTAGATACATAAATAAATCCAGTGTTACTGTCTGGGTACCTGGAGGAGCCTGGGCAGGTGTATTGAGGACTGAGGTGTGGCTGGCAGAGGAGATCTTCTGGGCCTGTATAAATAAGTTCTGCCCCTTTAACATGTACTGTTCTATAAAGCCCCTAATGAAGACTGTCATGTGTGCCCCGGTGCCACAGTCACTTAGGAAACACATGATGGGTGACAGGTTATTTCTATATGCAGTTACATGATTTGAGCAGTAGAAAAATACACTAACTTTTCCTAGGCTCTACAGCTTCTCTGTTTGCTACATCTTTTCCATCCTCCAACTGGCAAATGCAATTTATTTATCATGTAAAAAAATATTCCTCATTTATCAAAAAAGAAGCCAAAGCTTCAGAACTAGATAGGTAGGGAGAAGAAAGGATTTTTCTTATTTTTTTTTCCCCCTGCTGCTAATCATTAGCTCAATTTCCACCTCTTCAGGATGAACAATTTTTGTTGAATAATAACCATAGCATAGACTCAGAGAAGTTCTGTCTTGGGGTAACTGACAGATTTAACTGCGATATTGGCTGCATCAAATAGCTTTGTGTTGATTATGATGAGATAGTTTAATCCCTCTTAATTTCTGTGGAAACTGCTCCTCTAACTGACTTCTAACAGTTTTGAAAATGGATTGTTTGATCTGGACTTACGGGCATTTAAAACTGTAGAGACTTTTTCTGAGAAGGTAACATGTCCAGCCCCAGCAGTAATGTGTACTTGAATGTTCAGTTCAAGCTCTGCCCACTCAATTTAGTAACTACTTGAATTTTCTGATGCTTACTTTGTAGTCATTAACTCTGTAGGGGTATGGGGGTTTTGTTTGGTTTGGTGGTTTGTTTTTTTGTTTGTTTGTGGTTTGGGTTGTTTATGTTTGTTTATTTCTATACAGTTAAACAGTGTTCCTGCAGCTTCAGACCTAGGCTTCATACCTAAAGAGCTGTTTTTTTGTAAAACTAGATGAAGTATATTAAAGAGACTCTCTTCCCATTAAATATGAGTTGAAAATCTCTTGCTGATCATGCACCAGTGAAGACAGATTTGAGGTGGTGAGAAGCTTGTGTCTAGGAGTAGATCTTAGAGCTGTTCGTGCTTGAAGAGAAGAAAAATATTACAAGATGGAGAGACCAAGAGAAATGGCTGAAACCAACCTTTATATTTTTTGAGTATAAATATATGCAGCAGCATGGCAAATGGCAAATTACTGGGTTGTTGAGAAGCTTTTTTTAAAAAATAATGGTGGCTTAACAATGATTAAATACTTAATTGCGTATGTTGTTTCTGTCAGCAAACAAATGAAAGAGCTGAAGGAATCGGGATTCCTGAAAGGAGCTTTGAGTGTGGAGCAGCAGTTGGCTCTCATTAGCGTCTGTACAGACCTGAAGGCAGCAGTAGAGGGTGCTACTTTCATTCAGGTAAGCAAAGATTTGACAACTCCTAGAAAACAGTTTAGAAAGATGATCAAGAGCTGTGCTGTGCAGTCAGTGAGTGATGGAGAGTTCAACATCCTGACCACATAAGGGAGCTGACCTGTGCTTCCACAAATGTTTGCAGTTGTTATGATGATGACTGACTTCATTTTATGAGCTAACTTTCAGGTCATTTGTGAATGGATATATCTGTGAAACAGCACTGGTCAGCATCTTCCACTGAGTAAGAACTGACTGTTCTTCCTATTGTCTGTTTATTATCTTTTTACCAGTCACTGTCCATGAGAGGACCTTTTATCTCAGATGTGACCAGTTAACTTCTTTGAAAGCTTTTATTATTTTTTTGTTACAAGACTTTCACATCAGCTATACAATCTTTGTGCCTGTGCTTGCTGCTTCCTTTAGAGAATTCTGCTGGGTCTGTGATACAGGACTTCTGTCTGAAAAAGGTGCTTTGATTCTTCCCATTTACGTAATACTTGTTCTGTGCTACCCTTTTCTCTTAAGCCTTATGTGTATATCAAGCAAGTTAATAGCCTCATTGTTGAGGTCTTTCATGAAGTTCCCTTAAAAGTTGCATCGTGCTTGCCACTCTTCTGCTCTTTGGTACCAAAATAGTGTGCATTCAGTTTTGTTTCAAGTGAGCAGTTGTATATCGCTGTTACTGTGCTGGGTATTCATATCAAAACATGTCCTCTGGTTCCCATCTCCTCTTACGACTTGAGACAGATCCTGGGAGTCGCCAAGACTGAGGCTTCAGTTTTCTGCAAGGATTAGAAGGAGAAACAGGACAATTGCAAAGAAATCACTGTTCTTGTGTGTTTTCAAGATAATCATCCTTCCTGTACTTTGATCATCTCTTGGTCCTATGCATTCTTCTTCTCCATGCATTTCGAAGAAAGGGAATTTTTAAAATATATTCCTTTTGTGTGTGTCTGCTTTTTTTGTCATATTTTTGACAAATTAACAGTCCTACAATGCCATGTTAATTTGGGTACTGCCCAAACAAGAAGGATGCCTTCTTGTTTCTAGTAGACTCTCCTAGTTCTGCCTGTTTTCTTGTACTTTTTCAAACATTTCTTACTAATTGGTATGTCCATGTGGTGTCGGTATGCTACCTGTAAGGATCTGATCCTTCTTTCTGTCAACTATGCGTCTCCTTAGTATCCTCACTTCTATTTTAGTATCTTCTTTTGAAGCTAAACACAGCAGTGGTGGAGGACTTTGGCTCTTGTTGCTCGTGCAGAGATGTTGAATTGTAGTATGCTGTTGCTCTTCCTAGAGGGGCTCTTCAGCAGTAGGATTTTTGAACAAGTCCCTGCATGCTACTTCAGATTAAATCAGGGGTTGCATCATCCATCTGTCCTACCACCAGCTGATCTATTAAACAGGTATCAAGCAAATGTTGCAGAATCAAAGTAATTTGGGGTTGAAGGGACTCATGGAAATCATCTGGTCCAACCTGCTGCAGACTCAACTCTCCAGATTAGTGCAGTTGAGTTTTGAGTATCTAAGGATAAACACTTCAGGTCTCTTTAGGTAACTTGTTACAACAGTTGATCACTCTCATTGTTAAACTTCTTTCCTAATATAGAATTGGAATTTCCCTTCTTGCAACTTTAGTTTCTTGCCCTGCATCCTACCACCATGGACCTTGGAGAAGAATCTGGCTTCTCTGTGTGTTCTTTCAGGTAGTTGAAGACAGTGGTGGGATGTTGATGGTCTGTGAATAGCAACAATCAACTTGAGGCAACTCAAGCTTTCTGGTACTAGTTTATCGTCCAGTTGCCCTTTTCATGTCTCTTAATATGTCATCATTAAGCGTATAATATAAATAAATGATAAATTAACTGCAGTATGCCTGTGGGTAACAAATCATATGTGTGGAACACTGTTGATGGTGTTCAATATCAGCTCTTCATTTTCAAACCATAGCATCAAATTTTGATTTGATACAAAGTGTTAACAATTGCACAAAGTAAATGGGCAAATTATTTGAATTAGTCTTTAACTTGCTCTTGGAAGGGACATGGAATAGATAGATATAAAAAGAATCTTAGTTCTAGGCTTACAGCCTTATATCAGCAATGAACAGACTGCTTTCTGTCTCAACCATATTAAACTTCAAAAATGTTGCCTAGTGCAGCTTTGAGCCTGGAAGGACAAAATGGACTAACTTTAACTTACGAGTGTAATGTTCTGACTTCTCGGTACTTTAAAAATAAAAAGTCAGTTGTATTAATGCTAGTTGAATATAGAGGACTATGTCTTCTTCCTTAATTACATAACCTACTGATTAACTTGTTAGATTTCCATGTGAACTGCATTTCTTTACCTTAGATTTCAGTTGGTTAAATCTTAACTTCTTTTCAAATTTGGCCTTTGTAGAGTAACTCCAAGCTTTAAAAATTTCCTTGATGTTTGCACTCCTTGAATGAATTCTTCAAACAGTTGCCTTCTATGTCGTTTTCATGGGACGTAACTTAAAACAAATGGGATGATGTAGTCAAAAGTGGAACTTCTTAAATGACATTAGTGAAGATATAAAAGTGAAAAAGATGCATGAAATAATTATGACTGGGTAAGAAGAAAATTTGTGACAGTAATGCCATGAACCTTTAAAAACAAGGTATGCCTTGATGTGTGTTATTTTATATATTCCCTCTCCTAAGCATGTTTATCATGTAACTTGTCTTGATTGGTGTGCTTTGCATCAACTTCAGAAGGAAATCAGTGTGGTTTTTGCTTTAAATCTGAGTATTCACCCAGTTTCACTTCTCGGAGCTTTTCTATGCTACTTAAAGTAAGTGCGTAATTTACAGCATTAGGGGAATCTGCATAGTAAGCTTCTTGCATCACTAAAAGCTTTAATTTTGAAATAATGTTTCCATTAGCTGAAAACACCATGGAGACAAATTACTGGGTACATTTGTACTATAATGTCCCTGGCGTGGGACTATCATGGGTGAGGTAAATGTTTCTTAATATTGTGTTCTTAACTTTCCTGCGTAAACACACGATGACTTTTGTCGACTGTCTTTAGGTGACTATGGGGTACTGAACTTAGTAGTACTCCTTTCACTCTTGGAAACACATTTGAGTGGATGTGTGTCTAGTTGCTAAATGATGTAAGCTGAATAGAAATCAGTACGGCAATTCTGTGATCTCTTACCCCAATGCTAGTAGAAGGAAAACATATATTTTTAATTGCTTTGCCTTGGAACAATTTACTAACAGAGTAATAAAGTTTACTAGCTCTCAGAGGAGGATAAGATGACTACTGCTGAGATTGTACTTCTGACACCTGAGCTGCTGTGTGCACCAGCAAACTGTGAGGTCTGGGTGGGCTGGTTGAAGCCAGGCATGGAGGGTGGCTGAGAGGTGATCTCCAAACCCATCACTTGTGCTGTGGCATGGGACAAAGCAGACCGGTAAGGGGATCAGATTAAGCTTGTAATTTACACCTTGTGGTCTGAGGTATTTATCCTTTTTCATTTTAATGGAACTCTACCTTTAGTAGAGTAGTATCTTTTTTTTTTTTTTTTCCCTCACTCTTTAAAAAGAGAGAGAACTTCCTCCCCCACACATTATGCCTGCAAACTCTTTTGAACTGGTAATAACGATACTAATAGATCTTTAGCCTGATCTCTTCTGGATCTTGCTGGTTCTTTTATCCGTCCCAGTGAGACATATTTAGAAATACAGTGTTACCAGCATAAAAACAACTTTCAAAAAGCCTGGTGATGCCTCAGAATGGGAAACCAGCATTGACTTGAGAGTCTTGACAGTAGGTGTCTCATGTCTCCTGTCAGAAAAATTTGTACTTGGTTGTTCAATGCCAGCTTCTACCTCTAGCTTTTGTTTTACTTTCCTGATGGCTTTCAAGAAGCTTTTTACTTCTGGGGATAAGGGAGTATCTGCAGATAGCAATGGATAAAGATGTCTTCAGCTGCCCTGATCTCATAGGATAGAAGAGCATCCCGGTTTGGAGACTCCATTAATGATATACCTCTGTAAATACAGAACTGGTGGAAGGCAGAGTGTGCAAGCATTGCAGTAGGATGCCTTCTTCTGGGCTGTCACTGGTCAGCTCTGAGCTCTGGACAGACAAACGTGGGTTTGTTTGCTCTCAGCTGGGTAAATATAACCTTGGGCCTGGTTTTACCCTACTTATATTAAACACTGACCTGAGGTACCAGAAGTTATGTTTTGGCTTCAGAGGGAGCTGGTTGTAAGCATGTGACCTGACTTGCTGTCCTTGTAGAGGTTTTGATAAAATTCTTTGCCTGATTTTAGGGTTTGAAACAGTCTGATCTCAAAGACTCGCTGTAAAATATCAAGTCCATATTTTGAGTTGAACTGAAAGATGCTGTTTGGGTAAACAGCTTGCTAGTGTCACTGCTGTGGTGTTGCTGCTGAATGGACTTAAGTCCTTCCAAACTTTCTAATGTTCACTCCCCATCTATCCTGTGCATATAACAACTAGTGTTGTCTGCCATTACAGACTTGAACATGGTTTTGGTCCTTGGTACAGGAGATCATCATTGCCATAACTGTCATCCTGCCCAGCAATGAATCTTGCTCTTCAGGTTCTCTTTCAGTGCTCCCTGGTTACCTTTCTAGGGCTGTATTGCATTTCCATTGCCTTTTGTAGATCACTTCCCCAATTTTTCGCAGTGGATGGGGTCACAGCAGAAGAAAAGAAGATCTGGTCCTTTGAGAAAGGCTGATTGACTTCCTCTGCCCTGCAGCCTGTTTGAGATCTTACTGCCCTTCCCTAAGGGAACAAAAAGGATCTTCATCTCTTTTGTAGCAGCCTGATTAGCTTTTTTGTCTGTCTTTTGGAAGTTTTGTAGGGCACCTGAACATCATGGAGAAAGATGGATCTCTTCATGGTCTGGATACTGACACTAAATAAAGCAAAACTTTCCTTCATTTGTTGCATGTACTTTAAACAAAACCCAAAACAAAAAAACCCCACGCAA